TAGAGCACCACTGGTAAACCTGGGAATACTTGACACCCAGCTGTTTCATTCTAGTCGTGGACTCTTCATCAGCACGCACCCACCGGGGTTCGAACCCAGGACCTTCTGGTACCATCATTTATTTCGTTGACTTTTCATCACCTCATCTGCTTACAGCCTAAATAAACTGTGAGGTTTACGTACAGAAAAGTTTTCACCTACCTGCAAATTTTACATGTTAACAGTTGATAGAAAGTTCCACAATTAGTAAACAGTGCTCAGAAAATTACGCTTATATAGTTTTTACATAGGCCGTTCAAGTTTAAACAAATAAAAATAAATGTATGAATATAATGGTAAAGGAGTTACGTATTAAAGAAGAGATGTGCGTTAGATGCAGAGTGACTAATAAGTTAGGTAACAATGTACTGACTGAGTTGAACTCAAATCATACTTTGGGAGAACAGAAAGGAGGGCACACCTCCGATTTTCTGAACATTTGCCGAAAAGCCTACATCTCAAAGGAACAAACTCTTATAGTAGCGCTATTACCAGTCATATCCTCGACACGAGTCATGAGGTGGAAATCGAGAAATCCTTTAAAATTATCAATAGACAAAGGAGCTCGATTCTCTTCAAGTTTGCCAACCAAAAAGCAACTTCTATCAAACGCTTGAAACCAGATTTATGTGTTCAGAAAGAAGCAGTTATTAGTCTTTCCTTCCCCACATGGTAACTGGATGTCTTTATTCCCTCTTTCATTTGATTACATAATCTTTTGTCTTTAACCTCACCCTCCTTTTATATTCGGTAATTTCACTTATCTCTTATTTCTATGATTTGAGTTGAACTCAGTACATTATTGACTAATTTATTAGTCACTCAGCATTTTACGCATCTCTCGTCTTTATTACGTAACTCCCTCACCACTGTATGTACACATTTATTTTGTTGAAACTTGAACTGCCTGTGTAAAAAACTATATAAGCGCAATTTTCTGAGCACTGTTCACCAATTGTGAAACCTCCCATCAACTGACAACATGTAAAATTTGCAAGTATGTTAAAATGTTTTTGTACTTAAACTTCATAATTTATTTAGGCTATAAGCAGCTGATGAGAAACCAACGAAATAAATGATGGTACTATATTATTCTGCACAAACCACCAATGTTGTTCTTGCTTTATTCAAATTCATCAAGGGAAATGGATGCATTATTATTATTATTATTCATATAAACTGAATTTACTAGAGCGTGTATCCATTCTTTATTATCCCAGTTGGTAGTATAATTTATTCTCACTTTGAGCACTTTTCCATATCACTTGTCATGCATTAATTATTTCATTCATAATAACTTTTTTTCTGCACTGTTATCTAATCAAAACTGTCAACTGGATGTGTGTAATTCCCTTAGTTGCCTGGTAATCTTATTGATTATTTCTATTATTATTATTATTATTATTATTATTATTATTATTAACACTAACTAATGTTCAATTGTTTAACTTATAGGGCAGAAATTCTGAGTAGGAAAATCTGAGACAGAAATTTAAGGCATATATACAAGAGAAGCTTTATAAACTAAATCAATAATTAGTTAGTGGAGGGTGACTACCAATGGAATCCAGTCAGGATGCGCGCTTCGTCCTATTCAGGACTCGTCAGCTAACTGGATGTACGTGCATTCCACACTGAGTTAGGGATGGTGTTCCCACTGAGGCTCGAATCCAGTGCCCCTAGATTCAAGCGCTAAAGCGTTATCCACTAGACCACTTTTGCCACCAGAGCCACATATTATGCAACCAGTTATATTAATTATTTAATTGAATTTTAGATTTTTCCGTCTATCAATTGAACTGAAGTGCCCGGTCTCAGGTTGATATGTTGGCTTCTTGTGCACAAAAATATGACCTATTGCACAAAATGTGGCTCTTGTGGCTCAAGTGGTCTGGTGAATAACACTTTGGTGTTTGAATCTATGGGCACTGGATTCCAGCCTCTGTGGGAACATCATCACTGACTCACTGTGAAATGCAGATAAATCCAGTCAGATGATGAGTCCCAAATAGGAGGACTGACTGGATTCCACTGCTAGTCACCATTCACCAAATTACTTCAGATTAAATCCACAGACATCGTCGAAGCATCTACACAAGAAGGCGTTATGTCAACCTGAAACCGAGCACTTCAGTTCGACCAAACAACGGAAGATGCTCACTGGCGACTGGCCCTATTCAGGTAGGTAGTTACCTGGGTTCCAGTGGGAAGTCGTGACCAGTAGGGTGCAGCTGGTCGGGTGTGAGGACAAATACTCGCCGAAGACATTGGCTAGCGGTCGCGCTATGTCGTGAATTGGCAGAGGTTAGAATTCAAGGACCATTGGATCGGGTCCCAGTGGCTTAATGGTATACGAGCTCGCCTTGTAACCGGGAGGTCCTGGGTTCGAATCCCGGTGGGTGCGTACTGCCGAAGAGTCCCAAACTAGGACGAAACAGCTATCCAGTACTCCCAGGTTTTCCAATGGTTCTCTAACTAATGTCAGCTCATGATGAAATCCTGAAACCAATCAAATCCCTACAAACCAAAACTTGAATAATTAATCAATAGTTTGCCTGATAAATTCATCAGGAAGTATGTAGGAAAATTTAAAACTAAAGTTATTAATAATAATAGTAGTGATAGTGACAATCATATTAATATTAATGAGGACATGCCTGTAAAACATGCACAGAATGATGTGACAACACCAATAATAGGGAATTAAAATCATCAGTGGTACCTTGGAAACGTTATGTAACATTCTTAACAATGCAGGAATAAAAGTGGCCGGCATTCAGATCCCCGACAAAATCAATTAGGAACAAGCTGTGTCGGTTAAAGGGTACTGTACAGCCAATTAAACAAAACAATTTGTCATGTAAAGCACATAGGTCAAAGTAATAGAACAGAGTCAATCAGTCAATCAGACCAGCGAAGCGAAAAATCTAGTAACAAAATGTAGATCAGTTGACCCTAGTAAGATAGGAAATCTAGAAAATAGCTCAACTACAGCACTATAGGTAATTACACACAAGCATACAATAGAATAGATGGGATCAGATGTCAGTTTTAAAAATCCAATATAACGGGGTGGAGGGAGAGCTTGATAACAACGGAAGCTTTGTTTATCGAATCACCTGCGAACACGTGTAATAGGAATGATTCAACATTTGTCCAGTTGGACATCTGGAAAATTCTACTACCTCTACATCGACGAAAGGAAAAGCATAAAGAAAACTCGGGTTTTGAAGTTCTGCAGTTATAATTGATGATGTGATTATGAGGAATAAAATTATGTTCGACAACTTATCATTAGGTAAATAATACTGTTTCACTAACTGTGTGATATATCTAATAAATGTATTAATAGGTAAACACCGACTAATACGACTTTTTTTATTACAGCTCGATCCCACACCGCATTTTTTGGTGTAGGTATGGAATTTTTAACATGTGATATGAGTAGCCGAAATTCTGCAGGCCGACCATAGATAACAGATGTGCGTCAGCAGGGTATCGAACTCCGGATCATGTGCATGGTTGGTAAGAGTCCTAACCGTTGTGCCACCGACGCAAGTTTTCCAAATATGTTAATCCTTCGCCCCTCCCCCCACTTTCTGCAATTTATATTTCCACCAATAAACGACTTTTAAATTTACGTAACCTACTTTGTTATTAAAATGGTCAACAGGTCCTGAGATGCTACGTTCAGATCTCAGTCCACTGTGTGGATGTGAGTTCGTATTCCACTCTTGACACTAGGTTTATTGGTGCGTCAGTGGTTCAGTGACAGCGACGGTAATAAGATGTAGAAACTCAACATGGTGAGATAAGGGAAAGACAATTAATAAACAAAAGTCACGAAAATTAGATATTTAATGTTAAGATATATCAGGGTCATTGTAGATCTAATGAATAAACCGTCTTCTTATGTATGTAGAGTTTAGGACTTAACAAATAATTTACCATTGCTTCTGTGGTCTGGAGAAGTTTACTTAGTACTATTACACAGAGATTTTCATGTATTTCTTAGATAACTTTGAAGTTCCTCTGTTGGTAGGTTAGTTTTGGTGTCTAGATTCAATCAGGCCTTCCCAGGGTAGAGAGTTTCGGACAAGAGGATCTCCCGTCTCCTTTATAAAACCATGAGGGTATGTCTCCGACAATACGTTTGGATAGCTAGTTCTGCGTACGGCTATTATGTCTATCTCCACACTGACAGGTAAATCGGTAGATATCCATTGATGAGGTGGCCAACTGTGGTAGCTTATCCTTCATATCCACGCAAATCATCGTTTTCGTAGATAAAGTTAATCGAAGTTCACCCACAAAGAGAGGGTTTTCTTTAGTAAGCGGGACAGGTAGTTTCTCAGTATATCTGCCTTTGAGTTATGCAACCTTTTTACTTAAAATTTATAGTTCTAATCACGCATCTTCGAAAATATTCCTTTCGTTGCTAAGATAATTTATACTATATATGCGAGCGATTACACAGTTCTTGTCTATGACTCGGTGGGGGAAATCCTTACAAATTGAAGCTCAGCTGTGACTTTTCAGGGGATGAAATTACCAATGGGGTACAGCAGGTCGGTCATGAGGATAAATGCTTATTGATAACATTGGCTGGCCATGTATGGTGTTAAAAAATCGCGAATCTACTAAATTTACAATTCAAAGCCTATTGAATTCTGTCTCAAATTTGCTTAACAATAAAACGGATTGGACTCACAAGCTGACTTTACCAGTGTTCCGTACCCATTTGTAGTCACTGGTGTATGCTGGTGAGGAGTTCCAAACACTGGGACGAAACAGTTTTCGATTACTCAGTGTCTGCTTTTTAATGGTTGTGTAACCGGTATCACTGTGTGAGTGATCGAACTTGATAAAACATAACCAACTTAACTGTAACTAACTGTTCATGAGCATTAATGGGATCAAGGTACAATTGGCATTAAAATAACAGTCACACACACACTCACCTTATATACTCGTAGAGGTCAGCAGATGAGGCTTATATGCAGTTCACTGATAATTATGAAATGTAACGTTTCAATAAATATTTGAATACAAGGCGATATGTGAATTACAAAATTCAAAATTGTGTTTAATTTTAATTATATAAGTCCTTCAATATAAATATTATTGCATTGACAATTGTCTGTTGAAAAAATGTTAGCAATGAATCGCTGTCAGTGTTGTTGCAGTTGCAGTTGCAGTTGGTGTGATAGAAACATGAGAAATGGCGTCTTTTCAATACTTCTTCCGTGAATCATACATACCAAAATTTTTGAGTATAAAAATGCTTTATTCTGATTGGTTGAAGAAAATTGACCAATCAGCGTAAAGAACCAATCGTATCAATGTTGTTATTGTTTTTTGTCTTGTAATTAATTGTTAATCATCGCGCCACACTATATGTTGTTGTTGATAAAACGGACCACATTCAAATTTTAATTAAGTAGTTTCAATTTTTAAATCAATATTAAATTTAAAAGCAATCAAGAAATGTAAGGTGCATCATAATGTGCATTATTTATTTGAACATTAAAAAAAAGATGTTCAAATTTGAATTGAAAAATAGCATGATTCGAAAAATATGTCAGTTGAATTTAATGAGACGAAATAAGTGTATTAGTAATGTACATACTGTGCAGAATCACATGTATATAACCTAAAGTATGGATTGATTTTAGTCTCTACTATTGTACGCACCTGCGCACACACACAAACAAACAAACAAATGCATACATTCACTAACAAGGTTTAAATTTTAACATTATATGAACCACACACCACATGTTAGGTAGAGAGAGAGAGAGAGAAATGGACTCAGTCAGACTAGGCTATTTTGAGGTCCAATCAATGATGGCGAATCACGTGATGACGAAAATGGTGGGATTTTTAAATTATGAAAAATTAAGACTTATTATTATTATTATTTTGATGAAGCAATAAGAAGACGAAATTTGTTTGAAACGTGTAATGTATTTGCGCGCATAAGACATTTCGAACAATCTGATCAGAATACCAAGACCCACGCAACAACTCTCCCCTAAGAAAGACGTGTACATCAAGCTACCCTATATATGGGGCATTATACCAGCTTGGTAACTAGACAAAGGCTGAACGCTGTTGTGGTTAAAAAGACTTTGTATGCAGGTAATATCATAATAATTGAGAATGTGAAGCCAGTATATCAATCCATCTAAGCCCTTTGAACATGCGAAAAATGATGTCACATCCAACTGCATTTACCAATTTGAATGTGCGTGTGTCCACACGTACACACATAGGGAGGACTCATCGATCTCTACAAGTAAGGGCTGGCTTCAGAGCATATTCCAAAATGGCTCAAAAACAAATGGAATCGTCAGAACCCATTAATGGTGAGAACAGGACACCTAGCCCCTCTACTGCAAAGCGTATTATAGAAACGGGACATAAAATTGACGTTAACAGATCTTTTAAACCTATCTATAAAACGTGTTTGGAACGTATCCTACAGTTTGTGGAAGCTCTAGCTGGCAATTAGAAAATTTAAACCACCTTTATGCGTTTAAAAACAATTCGTCATCACAATAAACCACTTTACTTGGTAAATTTTGTTTTGATACCATAGCAGATGTACTATTATCTTTGGTATTTGGTTTAGTGATCTTCATTGTTATTTTGACCTTCGATATGTCCTCTTAACTTGACCCAAGTAGTCGGATATAGGGTCAGGCTGGAAAAAAGCTAGCGGCGGTCAAACAAAAACTTGGCATCAGTCAATGAAATCCACAACAGTTGGTCTAAGCCACGTAGGAAGGTGTAGACTTCCAGGCTGGGGTCCTCGGGACGGTAAAAATCTATGGTTGGAAACAATTGGTGACATGGCTCAAAATCGTTCTCAGTGGTTAGTGCAGATGCATCCACTCCCTGTGACTTATGATCTTCAATGAAACTGTTTTGTTTATCTTTATTATTCCTCTGTCTCACACCTCTGCTCACTGTTTCGATTATGCTTTTCTTGTACTTTCTTCTCTTGCTTCGCGTGCTACACGGAATGTGGCGACTTGAACTTCCGCACATTTGTGCAAAGTTCTATGTCGAAAACAGACAGACAGACGGTCTATTTTTATCACCTCTTACTTCTTTATTAATTTCATATACATTCCTATGACAAGTCCATATGTGGTCAGATTGTTCGAAATGTGTAGCACAAATACATTACATGATTCAGACAAATTACATCTTCTTATTGCTTTATCTACATTTATAAAGGGAATTAATTGTTTTAAATTATTATTATCATTATAACTCATTCATTAGGATCCCGATTGAAACATATAGCTTCAACAGACTATTAGTATTGTTTGCCGTTTCACAATGACTTTCTTTATGGGTGTAGGGTCGCTAGTCCGACATCCAACGCTCCGCCTTTACTCGAGTTTGGGATCGGCTTGAAAACTTTTGTTAGCAGCCGCCTTCGCTGGTTGCACACGGAAGATCAGATGGTAGGGGCCAACCAGAGAGAAGTAACAACAAGAAACTCCTGCTGATAACTAACCAACTAAGAGCCGATTACTCAGCAAATATGTAGGAGTCAGCGTAGACGGATTGATCGGACGTATGTCACTAACATCGCGCGCAATGCAAATCATCGCTCAAGTGGTATCCCAGTGGGAACCCCACGGCGACGAGTGCGTCGTCGCTGGTGCGATGGTGACATGAAGAAGATCATATGGGTTGGTCGAGGAGGAAATGAGATACTTTGGACAGGCGTGTAGCTAGTCTGCTGAAGTGGACAGCTCCAAATAGAAGGAGGTGGAGATGTGTTGTTGAAACCCTCCCTATATGTCACTTGGAACCCAAGGGAATATTAATAACCGTCTGACGTTATTTGTAACTGGCTCAATGACTGTCCCCAAGGCTTTTATCTCCTCCTTTATGTGACATTTGGATCTTCACTCATTCCCTTGTTTCTTATCCGACTCCTACTTGAAAGCCTTCCTAACATCTGAATGACTTCTCAGAAGACATGACCGATCCATCTTCATTAACTTCCAAACATTTGTTGACTGGTTTCCTACCAAACCTCTAGCCATTCATATAATCTTCAACATCAAGTCAGTGAAGGCCAGTATCCACAAAAGTCTATAAAGGCTTGCTGGAAATGCTTTTAATGACGAATGTGCCTGGTCTCTCCTCTATACAGAGAGGCACTAACCTGCTATCAGTTATGGAGAATTCAAATCTTCTTCCTTTTCATGAATACAGTAGATCTGAAGACTGACTGGTCAGGGTAGTGAACATTTGTCCTACTTCCTTTCTGATCCTCGATGGCTTTCACATCATCATCATTCTCGCTATTCTGTAGTTGAAATTCTACTTCTATGTTAAAAGTCGGACATAGACATCATTGATTATTCCAACATCGTCTAACCTTGGAAGGTGGGACTGTAGTTTATTGATAACAATAACAGCTTTGCCCACGAAACAATGTTTATATAGTGCACAGAATTTTCAGCCGAGTTTGTTGCATGATATTTCACCGTTTATCCAGGATCTTCAGATAAAAGATCAGTTGACAGTAGATCGTTTGATGGAGTGCTGTCTAACCTGAAATGCAAACCGATGAATTATGATGATATTTCCTCTATTTCTCTTTTGAGAAATACACGCTAGCACTTTGTTGAATGCCGAATATGAAGACTTCAGGAGTACATTTTGTGAACAAAGGACACCAACAATCAGAAATAGCCACCTCATATATTGGGATAAGCTGCCATCCATCGAGGACAGTGCTTTTCCACCTCATGTTTAATAGAAACTTTCGAATCGACAGTCTGTCAACATTTTAAATACCCACTAGAGTTTTCTAAAGAAGAAATTGATTGCCAACAATACGTAGAATTATTTGGAACCCCGAGGGCCCGCTTGCCACACATATATGGCCTTCCGAAGATATGCAAACAACAAGTCCCACTGAAACCTATTCTTCCGATGATGAACTCACCCCAACACAAGGTGGCACGTTGGCTTGCGAAGAAGTTGGAACCTATTCGTCAACATCTAATCATGCACACTATGAAAGACTCATTTCATTTAACTGAGAGTGTGAACCACAAGAACGTTTTAAATACGTTCATGGTGTCATTTGATGGAACCTTCTTTTTCTTAGTGATTCCAGTCAAAGAAACTATTGAGATCATTCGTCAGCGGTTTGGTCTTCTCCCAATCTTAGAGTCAGAATTCAAACGCCTACTGCTAATATTTACCATGGATGTGCAATTCCAGTTTGACAACACTCTTGGCTGACAAACAGATGGTATAGCTATGGGCAGTCCACTTAGCTCTGTTTTAGCAGATATATTCATGTCAAACCTTGAAAGAACAAAGTTGAAGCATGCCATCGACGAAACAACTTCCTACTGTCGTTATGTTGATGACACATTTATAGTGTGCGACAATGAAAGTCATGCTTCCCACCTACTCAGATTATTCAATGATGCACACACCAATATTAAGTTTACTACAGAACATGAAAGTGGCGGAAAGTTTCACTGTTTCGACATTGCCATGCAACGCATAGAAGACGGTAGTCTTCATAAGTCAATTTATCGAAAGCACACATGGAAAGGACAATACTTGCATTTTAATAGCTTTTGTCCAAATAGCTTTAAACGTGGTCTAGTCAAGACTCTGTACTATAGAGCGAGGGGAATATGCTCTATAGAGAAACTAGAGGAAGAATTTATGTTTCTCGAAAATTTGTTGAAACCTCGAAGGTTCATTAACTAGTATGGAAGATCTGAAAGCTCAAATGTTAAACAAATTACACTGGAGAAAAAGCCCATCTACATTTGGCGTGATTATATAGGTGAAAATATCACAGCAATTGTCAACAGAAGACTTAGGACGTCGCCAGGCAGAGCCTAACCTGCAGCTAAACTAGTCCCAGTATATCGAACAACTTCCTCTTTGATGCAATCAAAAATCGATAGATATCCTTCTCATGTTCACTTCAACTGTTCATACAAATTTACATGTATCTGAGGGAGCAGTTATATTGGAAGAACAGAATAAAGAAGGGCATATCTGCGATTTTCTGAACATGTACCAAAAAGCTGATGTCTAAAGGGAACAAACGCTTTAAAGAGTGCCACCGCCAGGCATCTCCTCGACACGGGTCATGAGGTGGACGTCGAAAAGTCGTTCAAAATTATCAATAGGCAAAAGAGCTCAATTCTCCTTAGGTTGGTGAAGCAATTTCAATCAAGCGCCTGAAACCTGATTTATGCGTCCAGAAAGAAGCGGTTATCAGTCTTTCTTTGCCCATCCTGGTAACTGGATATTTTCACCTCTCTTTCTTTCGAATGCGGAATGCTGAAAAGTTTCCATTGTGTATGATTATTATTTTTCGGAATAATGTTTAATATTAAATATATATATAATTACTGTATGCATATATTGATTGATTTTTGTTTAAAAATGAACTCTGTGCAAGTATGTTAAAATTGTTTCTGTAGATATACTTAATAATATCTTTGACCTGTAAGCAGCTGATGAGAAGACAACGAAATAAAATAAAAATACTAGATTTAAACAAAGTGAATAAGAGAAATTATATAC